GTAAAGTGTGAGAACAGCGATAAATAATCATAGTACGCGCTCATTGGTGGAGAAACACACCACACAGGCGACGAAAATCTTACGCGGAATACTGATGCCAAAGGAAAGTACATGTATGTTGTTTATTATTATGATGTTGCAATGTCGACATCGGCATCAATATAACAATATCGACATCGGCATCAGTGGGGCCTCCCGCTGTCGATCCTGTTGACGGGCGGACAGGTCGGTGTGAATCCTGAACGGCAACCGAGCCTGTCGCGTTGGGGGATCTCGGTGGTGAGTCTCGCCTGGCCTGCATACATGGACATTGCAACATCATAATAATAAACAACATACATGTACTTTCCTTTGGCTTTGGCATCAGTATTCCGCGTAAGATTTTCGTCGCCTGTGTGGTGTGTTTCTCCACCAATGAGCGCGTACTATGATTATTTATCGCTGTTCTCACACTTTACCATTTTAATAGCAGCTTGCATATGCCATTGATATAATGTGGAAAGCGCGCACTTGCGCCATTTCTGGTGTATAAGAATGATCATTCCTCCATTATCATCATTATCATCCTCTACTGATGAGCTCCGACAGGGAGCGAAACAGCTGTCTAGAGGCGTGGAGCAATAATTATTATCTCTCAACGGAAGTGTCCTTGCTGGTGTCTGTATGGTTCGGCTGAAGAGCGCGTGGTTGTGATGAGTTGGGAATGCAATGAATTGAAAATATGGCCGAAAGCTCTGTCGCAATATTTAGTTCTGAAGTTTTAATGCGCCGTTAGTGGCAGAGCAGAGTGGACACGAAGAGTCGGTGAAGAAAGAAGGAGAGATGACAAGACGAGTCGGTGAAGAAGGAAGGAGAAAAGCAAGACACATCTGCAACATCTTTGTTTGATCAAAATGAGCTGAGCTGCTGATACGAAGCGTCGACCAAGCATCCCTGACTGGAGTGAATGCCCCAGCTGGCCTCTCGTTTGTCAGTGGTTGCCGATGGACCTGTTAGTATCACACTCACGACTACAAGTTTCCTGGTGTGCATCGACATCGGCATCAGTGGGGCCTCCCGCTGTCGATCCTGTTGACGGGCGGACAGGTCGGTGTGAATCCTGAACGGCAACCGAGCCTGTCGCGTTGGGGGATCTCGGCGGTGAGTCTCGCCTGGCCTGCATACATGGACATTGCAACATCATACAGTCAAATCTGCCATTAGCGACCTCTGCTGTAGGCGACCATCTACCGTTAGCGACCGATTTTCCGTGCACCGACGGTTTCACATACAAACTGATCTGTCCAGAGCGACCATCTGCTGTGCGCGACCAGCGACCTCGATTTCATGCACGGTGGCTGCATTGAAATCTGCTGTAAGCGACCGCGACCCAGGTTCAGTCAGCTGCGAAACTGTACTTGCCAGTGCGCTGTCACCTGCAAAGTGTGAAAATGCGCAGCTCTCAAGTCCAGGCAGTGTCGATCTACTGCCGTGTCGCATACGCGTACTATGGGTATGGTCGTCGTTGAATATCCAATAAAATGATATTAAAAATCACATTATTCTCGTCGATTTGAGTACATGGAAGCATATACCTGGTATGCCGGATTTACCATACATCTGCCGTAGGAGACCATCTGCCGTAAGCGACCGCTTTCTCTTGCACCAAGGGGCGGTCGCTTACGACAGATTTGACTGTAATAATAAACAACATACATGTACTTTCCTTTGGCATCAGTATTCCGCGTAAGATTTTCGTCGCCTGTGTGGTGTGTTTCTCCACCAATGAGCGCGTACTATGATTATTTATCGCTGTTCTCACACTTTACCATTTTAGCAGCTTGCATATGCCATTGATATAATGTGGAAAGCGCGCACTTGCGCCATTTCTGGTGTATAAGAATGATCATTCCTCCATTATCATCATTATCATCCTCTACTGATGAGCTCCGACAGGGAGCGAAACAGCTGTCTAGAGGCGTGGAGCAATAATTATTATCTCTCAACGGAAGTGTCCTTGCTGGTGTCTGTATGGTTCGGCTGAAGAGCGCGTGGTTGTGATGAGTTGGGAATGCAATGAATTGAAAATATGGCCGAAAGCTCTGTCGCAATATTTAGTTCTGAAGTACTCTTGGTTGTAACAAGAGTATTATAATTAATTTATAACCTCCTGGGGGCTTATAATTATATACATGACATCAAGAGTACTCTTGATGACATGTATATTGCACTCTTGGCTTTTGGCGTAGGTTGCTCAATAATAATAATACTGATGTAGTTTAACATGTACTTGCCGCGGGTTTTATATAATACAAGCCTTGAAGGCACCGGATCGGGTAAAGAACGACTACTAGAACAAAGTAGAAAACGAAAAAGATCAAGGAAAAGAGCTGACTAGCGACTGTTTGCAACCACGACTGTCATCTACCAACATTTTGATCTGGATCTGGGAGAAAAGAAAACCCTTTGTTGAACGATAAATGGCTCCTCCAGCAAATTGAGGAAGAGACTGAAACTTGTATTGCGGAGTCGCTCGCGAAGGAGATCTTGGACGAGCCGGGTGACCCTCAACCAAAGCGTGCAATGCTCAGCAACCTGCAGGAACCGCGCGATTTGCCGAGGTTTCCGATAAAGACATGGGAAAATCCGCAGGAACAGAACGCCCGATGCCCAGTCGACAACGTCAATGGCCACCACGAGAAAAAGAGCACTATCGACTACTACAGACTGTACCAGAAAACAATCGCAAAACACAATGCATGTGCAGCAGGGAATCGTGGTTTGGATACGACTCCCTGCAGCATGTCATACTGGGACGTACAGACTCAGTACAGGGTGTGCAATCTGTGCATTGTATCTCTTTGCAAAATTAAAATTATTTGGCTGGGGTGGTTCCATGGATCATCCAGTCACCTAACTTCAAAGCTACGTGTAGTACCGTAAGTCCTTGCACTTGCCTTGGTCACTCATATTGGTCATAATCATAATACAATCAAGTACTATTTTTATTATTATGTCTCCTTTGTTCACTTCTTTCGAAGGCGATATTAAGTTAGACCCACCGGGAAATATTTCCATGGGTGGGACAGCAAAAATAAAGTGAAAAAATAAAAATGCCAAAAACCAAAGGGACAAGAAATAGGGGAAGGAAGAGGAAGAAATACTGTACAAAGGGTTTGTAAGACCTGTGATCGAATATAGCTGTACGGTGTGGTCGTTTGGATCTAATAAGAAACCCATGACCACTCTTGATCAATTACAGGCAAGGTTTGCTAGAGCTCTACTGAAAAAGAAAAAAATTGCATTTGATTACACTTCTTCCAAATCTGTCTTAAATTCTAAATGCTCCCTAGAGTCACTAGCCTATCGTCGTCAAATCATCAGTCTCACTCCTTTCACAGATATGTTTTCCATCATCGTGATTACCTTGCTGATTTCCATTTCAAGATTACGAATAGTGAGCGACGACCAAATAAAATCATTCTTCCCAAATTTAAATCATTGTCTAAGTCTCTCTTCATGTTCCGAACTGCTATTCCATGGAACTGTTTACCCCCCCCCCCCCCCAGTCTAACATCGGAAGCCTCGCTCTATAAGTTCAAAGCTGCCCTCAGGAAATTTACAGCTGACCATGCTCATGCAATCAACGGAATTCCGCCACCTTGCAGTTGATTATCCCCATTTCTCTCCTCATCAATCCCTATTTTGTCTTTGTACATACATCTACAAAGGAAAGAAACTCAATCCAAACTCCAACATCAAAACAATAATAAAGAATTTGCAACGACAGGTATTGTACAAAGACAGGTAAGGTATTGTGATGATAAGGACGTTGATGTTGTTATGGGGATTACAAAGGAAATAATTATCTTTATCAGTCGTTATTCAAGTCTCTTGGCTATTGAACATGAAAACTTATTATTATTATTATTATTATTATTATTCTGAAGGTCACTGGGCATCGCGCACACAACGGCTAGTGTCAGAAAACGTGGAAGGCCGCGGAAAAGCAAAGAGACGGATAGTGGTGATGCCGCGAAGAGGCGAGATGACGGGACATTGGAGGGGACAACACCCAACGGAGCTAGGAATCGCACTTCGTCAATCAAGCAACATCTGTCAGCCCGTACCAATTGTCTTGAGTTGTACAGTGATAATGTGTTCTCAATATTGTCACGTGGTAGATGTGCGTTGCATCTGGCTGTGTTAGAAGCTTTGTATATCCGTAAGTTAGATCCTGAGCTTTGCGTACAGAAAGAAAATGTGTTGTCGCTACAATTGTTTGGTGTTACTCCTCGTCGAGGTGTTAACAATGTAACTTAATTTGCTCACTATGTTCTTACGAAGTAGTGGTTGCGACTTCGGCGATGATTTGTAAGAAAGGGTTTGCTCCCCACACCGGAGCTCGCGCTATTCCGCCGACTTGAGTCAGTCAAGTGTCAAGTAAAGTCGGCGGAATAGCGCGAGCTCCGGTGTGGGGAGCAAACCCTTTCTCACTATGTTCTTGTCACTATTATTATTTCCTTCGAGTTTTGTGTCGTGCTGAACTTGATAATTTTCCACCTTGTCACGAGTGTTGTTATCTCATATTCTTTACGCTATATAAGTTTTAGTCTTTCCAACTTGAGCCATTCCCTGTATAATCCTTGATGAGAAGGGACCGAAAACGTTCGGATACTTTGACAAGTGCCTTATTTTGACTGGATGTGTGTTTGCGTAGATACTTACGACCCAACACGTACCTTCGTTATTATTATTATTATCATACTCGCCACTTGTAGTGCACTCGCCAGTGCAGTACTGCTGTCATCCTGCTCTCGTACTCGTGCAAGCACCTTACCTGTACATGCCGGTGCCGCCATTACTGGTATGTGTACATGGTGTAGGGCTCTCCTCGGTCTGGCCTAGCCTGGTCCAATCCAAAAATGGCCGAGGAGCATTTTTTCTTTTCTGTTCATACGCGCTTCACGACACAATTTTAATTTTTTTATTTTTTCGAAAGTGCGAAACGAAATGAAACCAAACTACGGGTAGGACTCTTCGACTGTTTTCTCGTATGTACCGTGCGGTGCGGTACCGTCCAGAAGAAGGAAAGCGGTGAAAAGGACAACAAGTGTCTGAAGCAGCAGAGCACCCAGCCACTGGCACCGTCGTGTACCGAGGTTGTGTTCGCTCATGCCATTGTCAACGAGTGAATTTCAAGAGGTAAGTGACCGCGCAACAAAAATAAATTGTGTCTTGAACTAATTGCTTGGATACGGACGACCGTAATTGTGATTTCCCGACGCTCGATGAGTGAAAGTTCGTTCGGAGTGTTAGCAACATTTCACAGTTTCGAAATGAAAACATCTGCGTGAATTACGGCTTCGGTCACTCGTGTGCTTCGATGTACTAAGAGTATCACACATTGTACATGTATTTCGCAAATTTCTTTCTTGGGATCATCGCTGTGACCTGCCCATTCGAGATCTTTTGCTGCGCTGAACGCGCGGTCGAGAGGAGAATATTAATTTTGCCACTTGCGAACGGGCTTCTGTTGCTTACTGCACGATGCCAAACAGAAGTTAGTTTCTAAACGATCTTGATTTGTATGAGCTTGATTATTATCATCTTGTGAAAACCGACAAAGAAAATCACTTCGACGTCGCAACCTGCTAACAATTTTGGCGAAAATGGCCCTTGTAATTTTGCGCCTCAGAGATGCGTACAGCCCAACCTAGAACCTCAGCGCTCACAAGCCAGTGCGCGGAAAAACTACAGTTGCGTTCGGAACGGTAACTAACGTGCTTTTCCTCAGGAAAACAGAAAGAGGACCGCCACGTATGTTGACGTACGTACGTAAAGACTTATGCTTACACATGCACGTGTACAATGACTTAGAAGCGGACATCGCGATATTGACAAGTAAAGGATTTGCTTGTTTTTCTTGCTCGTCTGATCTGATCGTTGTCTGTGAGAGTGATCTTTCGTAGCAGATGGCGAGTGAACGCCAGTGCAGAACTACTAGTACTAGTACTTTGTACGAATCATTCATTATCATAGAAGTCCTGCAACGCTACTGACTATCCCACTGACTACATCCCTAGCGCCGTGAAAACACTGGTAGCACAGCTAGGATCTAGGAACGCACGCACTGTCTTCACTCTGTCGTAGATCCCCCCTCTAGCTCTCTCTGATCTTGCATGCACTTGTCAAGCAACCCGCGCCCGTGACTGTACACAGAGTCGCACAGTCTTACTCTTAGTCTGTTTTCGGCGTCGCTTTCGAGAACTAAAGTTTTGCTAAAAGTTGCACTAAATAAAACGTCAAACCGCTCGATCGAGCTCGACCGTATGTCAGGTATGTATATGTGTGCTACTGCTAGCTACAACACAAGTCTAAGTCTACGCGTAGAATCTACGCGCGTACCGGCCACATACTACTAGTGCGCGCGCGTGCGCACAAAGAGCTGTCTGTTGTTGCCATATCAAAGGCATCATCATCATGATCATGATGATATCAATGCCTGTTCGACGTTCACGTGCCATGGTTCAACTCAACTACAGTGGACCTTTTTTCTTTTCCTTACGCGCCATACCAGTACATACAGACTCAGTGCATGCAGTGCGTGCATGCTTGCACTTACTATCACTACGCGTACGATCGAGTAAGTATCAGTCATGTATTTTTTTGATGTCCGGAAACTCACCTTTTTCGTTCACACTTGAAAATGAAAAGTGTGACTAACTAAATCAGTGAAACGGTGTGACTTGCATGCACTTGCACTCGCGATAGCCGCTACTAGCCGGCTGTGCTGGATCTGGTATCCGCTTATCGTAAGGACGGGCTGTTACCCTTCGTCTTCGAACACTTATTTCGAAGTGAGAGAGAGAGAGAGAGAGAGAGAGAGAGAGAGAGAGAGAGAGAGAGAGAGCTTATTTGCAGACAGTTCAAAGTATCTTTCTCCAATGGAGAGTAGCTACCAAGCTGATCAATCGCTGGTCCGTTTCTGGATTGACAATGACGTTCAAGAAGCCTGCCTTGTCTCTGATAACTATTGCTTTGAGTCAAAGACTCAAGCACGCGCGATTCAAAGTTGGTCCAAAGCCGATTCGATTCATTATCTTCTTCCCGCGGGTGGCTATTTCCGATCAAGGATCTCCTTAGAGCCTTTCGTCAGTTTCGACGAGTCGTTGTAGCTCATTTGCGCATTTGCGGAGATGTTTGTGAACAACGCTGTCGATCGACCGGAACACGTGAAGAATGCGCGTTCATTCTCCACTTGTGTCCCTTCAAAATGAAGCGCTCGGTGCTGCTTTCCGCCTGGGTTTCAGGACCTGAGTCAGAGACTGCGCTTTCTTCTGCATATTCACATCGAAATCACTGAAGGACAGCGGCAATACATGTTGCTGAATTGTGAAGGCTTCTTCATAACAACAGAAAGAAAAGAAAATGGGAAATAAAACCATGCCGCACACCAGTCTTTTGACGAAATAATCCGTGATGATTGCTGGAGTGTAATGTACAGTGCTGGCAACTGAAATCCGACCTCCTGATAAGCTGAGCGCACCGCTCAGGGGGTCGTATTTCAGTTGCCAGCCCTACATGTAGACTGGATGTTAACCAGTTTATAGTTGTTACTCGAGTCACGGTACGACAAGATAGCATACAGTAAAACCTGTAATGGCGGCGACCACTCGACCTTGGCGAACACTTTTCCTTGTCACGGACGCATTCACATTCAAAACAGCTCGGATAAGGCGACCACTCGACCTTGGCGAACACTTTCCCTTGTCACGGACGCATTCACATTCAAAACAGCTCGGATAAGGCGACCACTCGACCTTGGCGAACACTTTCCCTTGTCACGGACGCATTCACATTCAAAACAGCTCGGATACATCTCCCGTACTGGCTGATTTTCTTCTCATGCCATGAGGTGTTGTCTATAATAATAATAATAATAATAATAAGGCGACCACTCGCTCAACGCGACCGACGACCACCCACCCACGACCGCGTTGCACAGTGCTAGTACAATGTGCATTGCACCATACAAATGAAGTCACCATGAAATTCTGTCTGGACCCTATACGTCGTTAGATGCTATAGCTGTCGTTAGTTACTGAATCATTGTTGTTCTCGTTCACCTGTACACACATGTTACCCACATAATTTAGAGGTGTTCTGCTTCCTCGGGATAGGATATTTTCTTGGGATTACCATACACGATGGTGCACCTTTCAAAGCTGTTACGCAGAATGCTCCGATAGGTTACTACTTCCATGGCTTAGACAATGTTCTCTTGATATCTAACCTAAGGTTAGTTGTGAGATAGCAAGGGACTACAAGTTACGCTATACTGTCCACCAGCACCACCAGTTACTTGACAATCAGCTCATGCGATAGCATTGCACAAAACTGACCGACAGTACTGACGTTCTACAACTAACTGGCTATCAGCTCTAGCACGTCTTGGGTGCGCACTCCAACAGTCTTCCAGCTTGGAAGGTTCTAAGTTATATGAAAACATAAGAGGGGATTATCGCATGAGCTGATTGTCAAGTAACTGGTGGTGTTAGTGGACAGTCATGATAGCGTAACGTGTAATTCCTTGGTCATTTTTTCTTTATTATAAATTAGTCATTGCCTCTCCATCCGAGTCTATCCTTGAAGTTCACTTAGCGGGACATTTTATGCTGTTCGTGAGTGCAACTTTGGCAAGTCTGGCAATTAGTAATTACCCAAAGGTGGTGACAATGTATGCAATGTATAGGAGGAAGGACAAACATGTTACAAGTTATGCCTAATGGTCCACCAGTATAATCAGATAATATAGAGTCAGAGAGTGCGACAAGGCACAAAACTGACAGGGGTACTGAGATAATCAGCGACCTGACACCTAGCTCCAACGTATCTACAAAGCACAAACCAACAACCTTCTAACTTGGGAGGCTCGTGTAAGGAAATGCCTAATGCGAGGAAGGAAAGTGCAACAAAGATGAACACAAGCTCAGAGGTGCCACATCTCCCTATCAGACGGGATATCTCCCGATTTTGTTGATGTTTTTGAAACATCTCCTTATCATCCGACCAGAATCGAAAACCTCCCTATGCTCGACACGGGTTTTGTGGCAAGTATGCTAGCCATGCATGTACAGTGGTGCACTCGAATAGAACCTGCGCCGACTGTGCCGGGGAGTGTGCCGGGGACTGTGCCGGGGAGTCCAGTAGACAAAGTACAAGTACAACCTTTTCTTCTTGCAGTTGAGTTACGAAAGAGCTCAGGTGGGGGGGGGGGGGGCATCGCCCGCCTCCCTGAATGAAGTTCGCCTCCATGTACTGTGCTGTTAAAATGCCATATTGTGACTGAGTGGCAGTATCCCCTGTACTCTGCTGGCTCTCTCCATGCTCACTGTCAGATGTTTGGACCACAGTCTAGAATATTGAGGAGCACGGACAGCATCCCGGAAATCGTGTTGCCATCACAGCCCGGCAAAGATGACAGCGGTGGTGGTGGAGGTGGAGGTGGCGGAGTCGGCATTGCGGCCGGAGGTAATGCCAAAACACAGGCAACACCAAGTCCAGCGACGGCCAGCACTGCTGTTGCTACTGCCGCCGCACCTGCTGGCACTGGCAGCCAATCCCCGAGTGGCATAAGCTCCTTATTATCATCTAGATCAACTGTTCCCACAGCCGTGCATTCATCGGCCAGTGTGCTGGGAAACAAAAAGCAACCTCCATCCAGTCAACAGATAAGGACCAACACCACGTTGGTAACAGAAAGCTTGGGTCCCAAAGTGGAACGTAGTGTCTCAGCCTCACTGATAGCCCCAGCCAATAGGGCCAAGGAGTCAGGTCCTGTTAGGTCAGAACAGCGTCATCAAGGTCTACGCGCAGGGAGTGTAATCGCAAGGGTGACCGATCAGCAATTTGCGCTACCCACTGCTGCTCTCTCAGGAACAACGCATCAACCGTCCCTGCGGGATCTTGCTAAACCTCGTCCAGGAGCTACATCAACACATGGTTCCACTATTGCTGCAATGACCAACACAACATTCACAACAACAAAGACAGTGCCAACACAAAGGCATCCGCAGTCTCATCCACCAACCATTACTGCTGGCTCACACAACACATCCAAGCAGCCTGTCGGAAAGACTCCACTAACGTTGACATCAGTGAGCTTACCTGCTCAATCCACACAGGCCTACTCGACGGTAGGGGCTACATCGGCCATTTCCCATAGCAGGTACAAGTGAGTAGAAGCCATGCTGTGTTACCGTACTCAACAACACCATGTCTTATGATGGGTAGTACCAATGCATCCTGTGCTCCAAATTTTGCAAACATGTAGTAGAAAGTGACACAGCATCTGCCAGCGAGATTATTAGATGGGCAAACCACCCAGATATTGAACGGGGATAGCTCACTGGTTGTCACACTGAGCCATGAGCTAGAATCCAAAGAATGTCGCCCTCCGTTGAGCAGAACGTGCCTTTGAGTTAGGGTGTGCAGCCTGGCAATAATGCCCTGTTGATGACATCACTGCACCAGTACCTCTAGACAGAATCACGGCCCCTATATGTGCATGAGAAGTGAGGTACACTTCTTATTAGAGAGGTTCCGGAGTACGATTTTTCGTGCCAAAATCCGTAGAGGCGCTACGGATTTTTTATACGTCGTTTCGAGCAGTGAAATGTTCCGGAGTACGGAACTTATGTGTTTGCCGTCATTGCCTAGGTTACGATCGCAAACACTTCACATTCCCGCACTATGCCTTTTTATTTTGAAAATTTGTACCGAAATCAAAACTACCTGCCGAAAATCGATGTTTCTCGTACCAAATTTGTACGCGAAAAATCTTTCTGCACCCGATGACGCAAAATCTCCATACGAAACATGGTTCGTATGAAAGCCAGTCCACACGGATTCTCCGTGCCGAAAAATCGTATGGAGCTCGCGTCGAAAAAATCCATAGAGCCCATACGGATTTTGGCACGGAAAATCGTACCCCGGAACCTCTCTATTAATATCAAAGTGTGTGGAGTGGCATTTCATCAGCTCACAGAATCACGTCCTATTAGGGGAAAACAGCATAGATGGGTTGCGGAAACTGGATTATTTCTTCATGTTGTGGATGCCTACACTTCAACAACAAGTAACGCCTGCACTGCCCCAGTGATGTCATCAGTGATGTCATCAGTGATGTCATCAGCGGGCACTTTAGCAGGATCAGCTCACGTACTAAAATCATGCAGGTTCTACTCGATGGCGAGTTTTAAATCGCTTTGGATTCCGAGAGCAACAGTTTAGGTGTACCGTATTTTTCCGGTTGTAAGTCGACCTTTTATGACTTAAAATGGAAGTAGAAAGGGTGGGGGTCGACTTACAACCGGGATTCGACTTATAACCGGGAACTATCAATATCTTACAAAAAATGACCTGCACTGCATGCACGAGTGCACCATGTGTACACATGTTTGCCAGTTTATTGGCCTTTTTCAAGGATTGGGACATTATACTCTCCAATAAGGAATGTTTACATAATTTGTTGATGTGTTTGTAGCAGGGAGTGGTTAGTAGTGCGTCTTTTGGTGAAAACTTCAAAACGCAGAATTGAGACCTCCGGATACGGGGGTCGACCTATAACCGGGGTCGACTTACAACCGGTAAAATACGGTATGGGTTTTATAAAAGTCAGTCTGTCCATAGGTCTTTTGGATCATTCTCATCAGTGGAAAACCGATAAGGGGCCGTCCACAAATATCGATGTTTTTGTAGAGAAGATATTCGTTCGTTTGGGAGGGGGGTTGGGCCCTGTTCGTCTCGTCTTTGAGAAAAAATATCGAACTCTATCTATGGACGGGCACTGTTCGAACATGTAGTTTATGACCTACACAAAGTGAAAGTCAACCTCGTGAGCATAACCATGGCAAGGTTGTGCGACCGTGGCAACATAAACCTAGGTGTATGGTGAAATTAGAGTTGCAGCTGGTCACGTTTCATGATGAAATTGATCATGTGTCTTTGTTTGATAAAATCTGCATGTCCAGACTCCAGACCCCATTCCAGTATTTTGTGTGCATGTGACATAATCGGGCCCAACAGATGTTGGCTAGTGTCAGTGGTGTTGGATTTGTCAACACTGGCCGGTGCATAGTTAGCCTACTGACATCTTCAGCGATCCATGATCACGCATACACACCATCTGTCTTGCTGCTTCACTGATGTTCTCCGGCAGTGCCCAGTCGCAAGCGACATCAAGAAAAAACACTGGTAGCGTCGGCAGTGTTAGTAGCGCCAGTGCTGATCTTACATCAAGAGGCAGCCGTCGCAAGGACAAGGGATACCTGGCGTATGTATGCGGATGGGACAACTGCGACTTTCAGTACGAGGACGTGGACAGCTTGACGCAGCACGTCATCGGCACCCGGCCAGGCTGTCATTTCTCACCAGACCAATCGTGTACATGTAAGCACAGACTACACAGAGTATGTTGTCTTACCACAAGAACTGGTTAGATTATCCAGTAAGCTAAGCTGAGTTTGTAGTTTTGCCACAATTGGACTTGATGCTAACTGAGGATAGGGGAGGGGGGGGGGGGTATTTTGAAAGGCACAGTTCAAGTACATGACTATACGAGGGCATTGGGCACGCTTGGGTCACTGGTAGACGCACTACGGTATTGGCCGTGCATGTAGAACTCTTTGCTCCGAGTACGCCGTGAATCTATAAAATGCGCTGAATTGGGCTCTAAATTTCGACATTTTCAGTGGACCCCCACCCTCCCCAGAGTAAAGGGTGGTCCGTGGACGGTTGAAATACTTTCACAGCATAAAACTACTGTAATTTCACAAATTTTCGGTGTACTTTTATTTTCGGTACTTTCGGTGCATCTGTTTCATACCTAAAATTTCAATACACCGAACAAACACTAACACGTATAATCCAATGCCAATGGGGAACTGCTTCCCTGTACCGAAAATGTCAGTTCACCTAACCTAGCCTTTTGCTCTCATACCGAAAATATTGAGCACCGAAAATTTCTGAAATTAGAGTATGTATCATCCTCCATGCATTGTGCACAAGTAAATGTGTCAGAACAGGGAGTGTGAACGCTCCGATGGATATGGCATATGGACTTGTATCCGTAATGCATGCAAACCGTCTGCTGTCCTCTCTTTTGGATTTTGTAGATGAAGAGCTGAGGTGTCGCTGGCTATACTGCGTCAAGGCCCATGAAAGGTACTGTATGACCACCTTTACTAACTTCCCCCGGGAATATCTAACAATTTTCCCATTTTCATCTTTCCCTCAAACCAGTGAATAATTATTAACTTTAATAGGGTCCATCCAAGGTTACCAATAGTATTTTCGAAACGAAAAGTTTTCGTTTGGGGGTGGGTGGGTTTGAAGGAGTTTTGTTTTGAAAATAGTGCGACAACGAGGCACAAAACTGATAAGGATATTGAGACATTCCACGACCTGACACCTAGCTCCAACACATCTACGAAACGCAAACCAACAACCTTCCAACTTGGAAGGCTCAGGTGCGGAAAGTTCCTATTAACTAGGGGAAGGGATGCGCCACGAAGATGTGCACGAGCTATGTCCCTCGGCAACAAAGAATGTTTAACGTTACGGGATGATGATGACGAGACTAGTAAGACCATTGGACGTAACGTTCGACATTCTTTGTTGCCGAGGGACATAGCTCGTGCACGTCTTCGTGGCGCATCCCTTCCCCTCACTGGAACTTTCCGCACCAGAGCCTTCCAAGTTGGAAGGTTGTTGGTTTGCGCTTCGTAGATGTGTTGGAGCTAGGTGCCAGATCGTCGAATGTTTCAGTATCCTTGTCAGTTTTGTGCCTCGTCGCACTATCTGACTGTATATTATCTCGTTACCTTGGTGGACTGTTAGTCATAACTACCGTATTTTCCGGGGTATAAGCCGCACTTTTTTTCGCTAAAAATCGGACCAAAATCGCCCCTGCGGCTTATACACCGAATATGCTTGCGCGAATGAATGCTTAGCATACATCAGTATGCATGCTGACGTCATGTGACATGTCATTCGACTCAGCTTCGCGCCTGTGTTGCTATCCCGGCACTTTTACTAGTTTTAGTGCGTGGGCTACACCATACGGTACGCGGGGACTCTATTTTTCATAATCTGATCTAACATGGTTTTTAGCTCCATAACCATAATAAATTTGTAGAAAGGCCATTTGTCAATGAGTGTGAAAAATCTAGGTTTGTGGGTGCGGCTTATACTCCGAATACCAACTTTTAGTCAATATTTTGCCTCAAAAAGGGGGGTGCGGCTTATACCCCGGTGCGGCTTATACCCCGGAAAATACGGTAGTAACTTATAGGTCCTTTTCTCTTTACATATCACTATTGGCTCAACATTCGAGTTAATATTTTATTCCCGTAGCTATGCAGAAGACGTTACTTCAGTAACGGCTGGCGCTAGCCAGGGTCCACACAGCTTTAATTCCCGTAGCTATGCAGAAGACGTTACTTCAGTAACGTCTGGCGCTAGCCAGGGTCCACACAGCTTTAATTTGGTATTTGTGTGTGTGTTTGTTTGTTTGTTTGTTTGTTTGTTTGTGTCACGCTTGGCGCTATCCCGTATCTGTCCCGTATCTGTCCCGTATCTGTGACTACAAAGGCTCTACAGGATTGTACATAACAGCTGTCCACAATATTTGCGGGCTCCTGTATCTGTCCCGTACCGTCCCAATATTCGTCGTATTATGTATACGACTCCCTGATGTAGAGTGGGATTTGGAAAGAAATAGGGAGACGAGGAGGAAATTATTAGAATAGACGCCGATTAGGTGATAGGATGCGTCAGCATAAACATACTTTGGAAGAGAGATCCCGTCGTCTCCAAAATAAGCGTGAACGAGCCATTCAGTGCCGGTCACAGGAAACGTCGGAAGAGAGATCCCGTCGACTCCAGAACGCCCGTGATCGGTAGAGTTTGGCGGTACCAGGCAACGTCATGACAGACATCCCGTTGAGTCCAGAACGCCGGTGATCGGCAGAGTCTAAGCCGGTCCCAGGAAACGTCAGGACAGACATCCCGTCGAGTCCAGAACGCCCGTGATCGGCAGAGTCTGGCCGGTCCCAGTAAACGTCAGGACAGACATCCCGTCGACGCGCAGAAAAACTAAATCTGTAGCCTCTTTTGCTGTCGAACAGGATAAGTATTTATATAGGAGACTGTAAAGTTATGTAATGTCCAAATTTCGACGTGAGCAGCAGGTCACTCGCGTTGATTTTTTCGACGTGCGAGCCAAATAACGCGAGCTGAACTTTCGCGTCGCAGACATCCCGTCGACGCGCAGAAAAACTAAATCTGCAGCCTCTTTTGCCGTCGGACAGGATACGTATTTTAGGAGACTGTAAAGTTATGTAATGTGCTCCACAGGCAACCATGCATTCGGCGTCGTCATTGGCTCAACAGGTCAATGTACATGTATTACTACAAAAAGGCCAGAAAATCCGATTCCTGTATTAAAATCAACTAATGTTCGCTGGCGATTTAATTTCGCTGATTTCGCCGCTTGGTACCAACCGGCCAAAGTAAATCGCAGGCCAACGTTTGTCATATAGGCAAATGATGCATGATTGAGCAATGGATGCATGTGAGAGCAAAAATACCGATCGATTTCAAATTTGACGTGAAACTGCGCGTCACGTCGGAAATAACGTGCATCTTAACCTCTCTAATCGAGAGGTTTCTATTTCTCATCGGCCAAAATTTGTTGATTTACAATATAAGGAGATAAAAATTAAAGAAGGAGCAAAACAAAAGTAGATGATTATTAGAGAAATAACAATCCGCAATAAATTCTGCAAATACTTTTGCCTAACTCATAATATTCAAACCGATTGAAACGTTTTTGCAATACAGTGATGTGGCCAATCAACGGAAAAAGACAATTCCATCAGTTCTTATAACATGTACGATGAGCTAGGCAAAAAAGCATAAAGGCATAGCGTAGGGCCCTGAGCTGCCAAGCTCTCTCGTTTGGTATTTGTTTGTTTGTTTGTGTCACGCCTGGCGCTATCCGTATCTGACGGCAAAAAAGCATAGGATGTTATAAATTTTTCAATTCTCCTTTTTTTTCAGGCATATCCTGGGATTCGAACCCGCACTATCGCCCTACATGCATTCCCCCATACACTTCGCATTCATACCCATTCTTCCAAGTTGCTTCACGTTATTAGGGAGGTTTCGCTCTACGTAATTACGTATGAAAATCCGTATGTCGTACGCGCCGGGGAGCGAGGGCAACTTTCATACGTAAATCTCTCTACGGATTTCCGTAGGAAAGCTCTTTCCTACGTTGGGTACCCCGTAGGACTTTTTGAAATAATTTTCGCTTTTTCCACATTTGTCCATGGCAATATTCAAGCCGCGCGAAACACAAGGTACACACACCGTACACCACGTGCAAAATATAATGGAAAACGCGGTTTCGGTTCATGGTGCATACGGTGGGCGCATGCAGCCAACGCGTCTCCAAAGCAACAACGCATGTTTAGCAGTCGTGGAGAAATCACGTAGAGCGAAACCCAACAGCTCTGATTTTTACGTATGAAAATTCCGTGCAGTTCATACGTTATTTTCATACGTAATTCCGTAGAGCGAAACCTGCCTATTATCTTGCGTTTGAAAGCCCTATTTGAATATTGCGGGCAGCTAGACGGTGTCGTATTACCCTCTATCGTACCTGTCCCGTACCTATCCCCTACCGTACCGTGCCATCAAAGACGGCTGGCCACAATGCATATTCAAATAGGGCTTTCAAATGCAAGATCACAATGTGAAACAACTTGGAAGAATTAGTATGTATGCGAAGTGTATCGGGGGATGCATGCATTGCGCGCGATAGTGCGGGTTCGAATCCCAGGTTATGTCTTAAAAAAAAGGATTTTTTTAAAGAATTTATAACATCCCTATGCTTTTTTTTTGTCTAGGTCATCAAGGCAAAAAACCATAGCGTAGGGCCCTGAGCTTCCAAGCTCTCTCGTTGGAATTCGTTTTACCTGCAGAAAAGGTAGGTGGGTGGGTGGGGGCTGGAAAATACTACCGTATTTCCGCGCATATAACGCCATGGCGTTATAGGTGAAACATCGCTGTTTTGGACCAAATGTTTGGAGAAAATAGCCTCGGTTTTTCCGCCATGGCGCTAAAAGTGAGAGACGCGTACATGCAAAAAAAACCGGCAGAGTATGAACTTCGAGTACTCGTACGGTGCCCTTGCACGTTCATGTCGAGCATCCATGTACTTTCAATTTTCCCTGAAAATTTCAAAATGTGAACCTATTGTGTACAAGGTGGCATGGAAACTTGTGTGAAGGTGCGGTGGCGGTATGGCATGTGACAGTGGGGATGGGTACATGCAGAGAGAATCACCGCTACTGTACGTTCACTGAAAGAATTGAACTCACCTTTAACGCCAGATGCAACTTCCTCCACATTGAATTTTGTTCACTTATAACGCCATGGCTTTATAAGTATATTCGGATATAACGCCATGGCTTTATATGCGCGGAAATACGGTACAACTTTTCGTTTTGCAAAAACTATTGGTACCCCCAGACAGCCCCTTAAGTTTAGCCTTAACGAATTAAACATTGAATAAAGCCTTGCGACTTGTGGTCACTTTTGTTTGTGTGTGTTTTTATCAAGAAGATTTAATGTGCGATATTGGACCTGAACACAGCGGGTGATATGGAATATTTCCTGCTGAGAAAGAGATTGGCTGTTATTTACATGCACAGGCATCGAACACCTAATGACTTGATGAGACATCTGCGTCTACAGCACTTGCCCCATGCAGCGAAGTTCATTGCGGAGGATTTCAAATCAAAGTAAGCCGTAAGCCCACTCTGTGTTGTGAAGCCTGATTTTGCCATGCGTGTACTTCCTGCTAGTACTGCTATTGTTGCTATTGCCTTGCCTTTCTGGTATGCACTCACCCAGTGCACAACAGCTTTCTTGTCCACGCGTGCGCTGCAGCCGGCAAATTGATGTGCGCGTGTGTGTGTGTGTGTGTGTTGGGTTGTTTGCTGCAGAAACTTTGTCCCAGTGAACCCTCTCAAAAGCGATGTAAGCCAGACTGCTGCTGCACGTACCCAAAAGCACAAGACGACACCAGTGCAGCAGAAGCAGCAGGCGCGAGCATTGAAACAACAGGCAGCAGTGCCAATGCGAGAAGCAACAACACCGGCAGCCAAGAACACCAGTCTACAGGAGGCACGTGTGCCAGTGCCATTGTCGGCGACGGCAGCCTCAACACCACCCACCAGGTTGACATCTACAGACAAGAGTGAACGCTTCGTATCTTTGGTGGACTACCGCGACACTACGGGAGAGATCAGCGACAGTGGTGGAAAGGGCAGAGTGACAGTAGTTCCAATTGATTACAATCACGGTCAGCAGCTAACGTCCGCTTCTCCGTACATCCTTTCACAAACACTATCCCAAGACCATTCGCGGGACTTGTCTACACCAGCGAAGACCCAGCAGAACATCCATGTAAGTCCGGTATACTCGACACAAAGTTTTTGTTGCAATCAGCAAAATGTAATACAGTGGTCCCTCTATAATCCGGCACCATTTGTGCCACGGAAATCTGCTAGATTAGGGAGGGTGCTGGATTAACAAATCTGATCTACTGCTGCAATGTGCATGAAGAGGACATTTGGCTACTGAAAATTGTGCTGGTTTATAGAGGGTGCTGGTTTATAAAGTGCCGGATTAGAGAGGGACGACTGTACCGTAATACTGCCGATTTGTACCTTAATGTGATTCACAAGATGCGGCTGTGTGGTGCTGGAAGTGTCGGTGCATTGGTTCCAGGGGTGTGCTTGGCGAGGGGCACAGGGGGCAAGTGCACCCCCCAAAATATTTCGACCGTGGTTTTGAAAAGTCACCAATGTATTGCGGAAAGCTCGACCTCGTGGGAGCACATCCACAGATGAGGTGCTGAAGCTGTTCTTTCGACGCTCTCCTCGCCGAATCCTGTCCAGATACGTCAACTAGTGTGACGATTGTTCTTGGCTATATGCGTGCAATGTGTGTTTGCATCGGCCTGCCTGGCACAGTCCTTTATTTTGAAACAAATCGATATGATGCTGTACTCGTACTAGTGGTGAAACGAATATACCGAATGTTCGAATATTCGTTCGGTTTGACATATTCGAACGAATATTTCTCATGGCGAATATTCGTTAGCCCGGTATGCAGAATCAACCGGGCGACTTCAAACTTTCGTAACTTCGTGAATACTTGACCGAATCGCTTCATTGAAAGATCTATCTGCATTGGCAAACTCTCAGCTGTTGTTTAGAAGCGACCCGAACGCAATCCGAGGTCCCGAAGGGGAGGTATGGCGTTCGAACGAAAATCACATCTCAAGCTCAAGCTGTTTTTTGAGCCTGTGAAAAGCACTTCAGCTGGGGATTTTTGTGAAAAATGACCTAGAAATGATGGAGAAATATGCCTTCGTTCGTCATGCCTAATAATAGTGACAATATCCAATAAAATGACTGAGAGGAGGGCATGTGATGTCATCCGTGTTAACGAAAGAATATTCGTTCGTTCGTTCGTTAAGCCGAAGAATATTCGGCTACTGGGTTTTGATATTCGTTTCACCACTAACTCGTACTGTATTCATTCTTGATGACATACAATCGTTGTAACAGTAATAATGACGTCACATGTACGAATATCTGATGATGTGACCGCGTACCGGTACAACCTTTTGAAAATTGCTGTTGTCTGGAAGTGGTGCACCCCCCTGGAAGGGGAGCCGAGCACGCCCCTGGGTTCAGTCTGCGTGGGATTCACTGTCAAGTGTAATCTTGTATGAATCCACCCAATCTTGCCATTATCACAGACAGGCAATTCCCTTGACATTGATCCTGCTGCACAGTCATACATTTTTCTTACCGGTGTGTACATGTTGTAATTCCACTCAGACAGATAACAGTCGCCATGACCTGCAGATGGCGGGTATCAACCGCAGGAACGTATGTTCCACTGTACAAAACAGTGACTGTTGGAAGTACAACCCCCTAACATGCCTAACATGCCTAACATGCCTAACATGCCTCACATGGTGTTCTCTACTCTACTGCCTTCACTGTAGGCATCATCCTCTTCAAAGGACAACCTGTCTTCTTCTGCAGTAGCAGTTTTGTCGGGCCTGGATCCGTCCCAACAATCTAGCTCGGTGTTGGCAAGCTCAGCTTTGAAACATCAACTTGACCAAGCGCGAATGACACAAACGACAACTAATGTCACTCCGGCAGCAGCGACTAAAGGAAATGTGCAGGGCCCATCACCACCTGCTGGGTCAAATCTACCGCTTGCTGCACCACTGTGGCAACAGGGAATGGTAAGGTTGAGCTAGCTCTTACTAATAGTCTAATACTAACAGCTGGTATACTTGTTTCTTTCTATATTTACAAGAAGGTGAATCCAGTCAGCCGTCACAGAGTTGTCGTTTGAGGATCGTCTTAACGCGGAACTCTAATTTACGACTAACTGTTCATCGTCCTCAGCTTGCTGTTTGCATTTACCTATTTATTTACATATTTATTTATTCAAAATCACGTGCCACTAGCCAATGAAGAGGTGATGTGGGCGATAGCCAGCCATGGCCACAATCAGAGAGTTGGTATTTTACTACTCCCTGGCCACAATGACAGGGAAAAAATGAACTTGGGAACAGAAATGTAGAAGTATACAGGACCGGGGGGGGGGGGGGTGGATTACAGGTGGATTCTGCCTATACTCTGGCATCAGCATCGGCATCAGCATGTAGGTGCATGTACACGTATACCCAGTATATGACTGTACACTGTCGTAGATGTGATTGTGTTGATGAAGTAGAGATCGTGACATTGTGTTTTACAAGCACCTGTCCTGAGAAGGTGCAGTGTGTGCATGTCACAGTGCGCATGAGTAAATATAACGAAGCCATGGATCGAAACGGAGTAACTGCAGCGAATGGGATTTTTCGATCTTTGACCACTTTGCTGGTTGGCTGATATAGTCACATCCCACCGCTTTAGGCGCTGCGTCTGCGCGCCTTTGATCTTTGCAGGGTGGTGGGAAAACTCAGTCTAACGGAGTCTCAAGTGAACCGTGAATTTTGTTATCCATGTCAGCATGAGGAGGAGCTGCAGCGGCAAAACCCATGGCTGTGGTTAACTACTATGGTTCCCTAGCTATCGTTCAGGCCATCCGAGTAGCGTAATGAGGATAAGGTCATGTCAACTTGTAACAGCAGTGTCAGCTTTCGTTCAGGCCATTCCGTTAGTGATGACAGAGCCACGTCAACTTGTAGCAGCAGTATCTTTGCAGTGACAAAGAAGAGCTATGACCTCTTGGAGAGTGGGCCTGTGGGGACGCCGTTCGGCGAAGTACGAATTGATTTCGAAGCGCATGTCCTGTTTGGGGAATACCTGTTACCACGGCAACTATCTCACTTTCCCAAACTACTGCGCAAATGTTATCAAGTTCTCCTGGTCTGCGTAAAGCTCCCTCATATGCGTACATAATTATGTAATGCAGTATTTCACCTTGGAAATAGAGCACCGCAGCGCTTAGTAATGAAAGTGGGACTTCAGAGGTTTCACTGAATCTGTCCAATTTGTGTGTGTGTGTGTGTGTGTGTGTGTGTGTGTTTCACCAGGCGATTGCTTCGACTGAGGGTGTGAATCTTCTTCCAGAGGAGGGTTCAGACTCCGACGGTATTAGTAACCTGCCTCTGGAGAGTCCTGTGAACGATGCAGACCTCCTTGGTGACTACGATGCAGACCTCCTTGGTGACTACGCAGACTCATCAGACCAAGCTGGCTCAGAAGATTCCAGCTGTCTCAGCAATACACTTGTTTCCAGTCATGGCGTTGTAGGTTGCAGAATTGCTGATGAGGACTGTATGCGTACACCAAAGCTGGGACAGATACTTGTTGAGGTATGATGCTTTACCATGCGTCGCGTGTAGTGTAATTCACTTACTGGTAGTACGAACTTTGATAAAAGGGACCTTTCGCATTTGCTACGAATCGAATGCGAAACGAAAGTTTGATTCGGTTCGTAATCGTTTCGTTGAAAACAGATTCAGTTTTCGCAAGTCGTCATGCAAATGTGCATGGCAACTACGAATATGGCCAGTAGCTTGGCGTACGGGTGTTTACACGCACACGTGCATGGATCATGGAATCAAGGGAAAAAATGTGTACCTGGCCAAATAAATGTGTACCTGACGGATTCGAAGCGTGCCACGAATGAAGAGGCTTCCATTCGTGAAAACGAGCTCTCCGCAGGGACTCTGACGAATCCTCGAACCCAGGTGACGAATCAGCATTCGTTTCGTATCCGTACGCGTGGTGCGAAAGGTCCCTAAATTAAGAGGTATGTCCTCTTTAGTGGAAGCCAATGTATGGCTCTGGAGGGATGGAGTTTTCCGTCATCAGACGGATTGGACAATGGACATGCACATTGATGCTGTTGATTGGGGACAATCTACTATAGAACGTTGGCGAGGATACATTTCGTGCTTGCTCCCATTGCAGATAGCCTAGCTGATAATGCATTTACACAGTAGACATCAGGACGATTCTTGGAATGGTCCCTCTTGTATCCCCGTAGGTGGAAGAGCAATTCATGTGTATGCACTATGCATGTGTGCATATGTGTGTGTGTGTGTGCACCTTCTTGTTATCCGCTACAGCACTCCTACAATGAAGTACGCCTTGACCAACTGCTGCCAGCAGCAGCTGAGGAGGCAGGACAATATCAGGGAGCAACACCAGCAACACATGCACCGCTGTTAGAAGAAGAGCAGTCAGAACGGGAAGCACACACATTGGAACACAAGCAACAAGAAAGCCAGACCGAAGCTGGTGCACCACCTAAGTTACAGTCAAAGCCGAGCTCGAAAAAGCAGCCCCAGCAGCCGAAGACTCAGGAGCAACATAAAAAGCCTGCGGGGAAAAAATGGACTCCGAAAAAGAAGCCAAGTGGGACGGCAAGTTCGCCGTTTAAAATGGTGACACTCCTGCCTGGTCTTGATGTTCCAGAAGAAAGCATTGTGGACAGTAAGTAAGCAACTGTGTGACAGCTGCATTGAAGTGCTTACTACACGGCACAGCGCAGGGATACAGACACTGTACCGCACAGGGCAGGGGTGAAGTCTGGGTCCCCCCCCCCCCCCCCGTACGTTGCATTTAGCATGGCAAGAATATTTTGGAAAATTGGAAAAAAATGGGTTACTGGGTAACTGTTTCCCCTGCCCACCCCCTACTGTTTGACCTTGCTAGAACCTTGGTCAGAATTTCATTGGCTACCATACTATTATGGTCCACATGACCGGCTGTACATGTTATGGTGCATACATGCCAGTGTGTGTGTGTGTGTGTGTGTGTGTGTGTGTGTGTGTGTGTATGTGTGTGTGTGTGTGTGTGTGTGTGTGTGTGTACTCACGTCGCACACTTTTTCAATCGAGTCAGCACCTAACATGTAGTTATGTTGGACTATGTTGAACTCAGTAGGCTGCTTGGTCACCATGCCTGACTCGCTAGCTTGAAACTATGCGGAACCTTTGTCGTTCTCGGATTTCTGCTTTCCGAGTCCTGCGTACCAAGACTGAGTACATAGCTGATCGAGACTTGGTAGGGCTAAGGCCATACACGGTTCATCACAATGCTACTCTTGACTAGCACGGTGGATCAGTACTGTGCTGTGACGATTCTGAGTTGCTAGTACATGTAGTAGATGCCATCGCGCTGTGTGTTGTGTACAGCCACAGGAACATGCAAGCGTTATCGCTGCGTTATATGCCCAGCATACAAGTACATGTCGCAGATGAAAAGGAGAGATGCACCGGTACCGATTCTGACAACCAGCGGTGAAGTACGCATTGCCTTCTGCACGATGCGTTGCAGATCCAGGTTCTGCGTGCAGCACGCGGATTTGCCGTACGGCGGAAAGATACATCCATTGCAGCGTATCTCTGTTCAGCAGCGGAGCGCAATCGAAAAGGAGCTGTCAGAATACGACCCTGGGATGACATCCGCACAAACATCAATGTCTGACGAAGGTATGGCATACCGGTATGCACAATCATGCCGCTTGTTCACATTACAACACATGTTGTACATTGCATGGACAAACATTGCTTGGGCATTGTGTTTTTGATTTCTTTGGTTTGGAGATGACAAGATGCCGTGCTTTGTATCATGGGCTATCATGGCCGCTATGGTGGAAGGCCGGACGTGCAAAACGGACTACATTGTACTAGTATTGCTACTCGGAGCACGCCTTGCAATACATGTAGTGCGGCCAGAATCGCTCCGGCAGAACACCAAACGCCGGCAGAACACCAAACGAGGACGCATGCACTCGCGTTTGGAGCACTCGGTTTCACCGGCAGGGAAGAAGAAACGGCCAAAGGACATGCTGTCCACCTCTCGGCGGCCAAACAACAAGGCCGTCACAGCTGGGGCGGCCTCACTTTTTCGGCCGTTTTTTTTTTTTTTTTTTTTTTGAGCACACTCCATGCATGATCGCAGCTCAGCCCAAACGTGGCAAATAATGAAGAATCCTTGTCTCCGATCGTGGTTTATTGCAGAATCAAAAAGTCTTTCATTGCACTCACAACACACTGAAATGGCACCAAATGCCTGGAAATGCTTGCAAATTGGCTTCAATTTTTGAAATTTTTCCCGTGGGAAGATAATGAAGAACCCATGTCCCCGATCGTAGCGTCTTCTTGGTTTGTTGTAGAATCAAAAAGTCTTTCATTGTAGTTACACTGAAATGGCACCAAATGCCCGGAAATGCTTGCAATTGGCTTCAATTTTTGAAAATTTTCCCGGGGGAGGACCCCCGACCCCCCTTCCAAGGCCGCCCCACCTCCAAAGTCGGTGCGACGGGCCTCAACAATGTAGCCCTAGCTAGGAGACACCACTTCAGGTCATCGTTTTCCAATCGCTAAATGCGTCTCATGATCCTGTGTTTTCACCGGTGACTGCTGGCATTCAGGCATGATGCCGTATCTCGTGGCTCAGATTCTGAGTGCGACACGCAAGCATAAAGAGGTCTCCTCCTCAGCCATGGCAGCCGATTTGGTGCTCGTATCAAACACTACAGCGAAATTGTCAAAGAAAAGAAAACCATTTGGACCAAAGATGGAATGCGAGTAATACTGTAATACTGTACAGTGATACGGAACATTTCCCTTGCCACCCAGCAGCAATACCGTGCCAGGATCACATTTCCCTTGCCACCCAGCAGCAATACCGTGCCAGGATCACATTTCCCTTGCCACCCAGCAGCAATACCGTGCCAGGATCACATGCACACCAAGTATTACATTATCGCTGCTACACGAAAAAGCACCAATCCGCAGCGCACAAAGAGTAAGGAATTAGCCAATAAAATGGTAGGCTGATGATGAGTACAACACATCATGTGTCTAAGTCGCATTTGGGTACATCACTGTTTGTTTCAACGGATCCAGGCTCGAAAAATTTGAATTCAAACCAGCACAGCTTTGGCTATGGGAGCAAGGTTGATCCCCTCCTTCTTTTTCACCAAATATGGTACTCTGCACACCTGGATTCTGAATGATCGGTATACGCAGGATCATAGCGGGGAACTTATCGGTACGTTCTTGCAGAAATCATCTTCTATGCCGGTTTCCACACGAGAGAGCACCTTTTTAAAATGTACCTTCTCTTGTGGAAACCATGGAGACGTAGCATCTTCTAGGTAGGGAGATGACATAAGACCATTCAATGATTGTACTGAAACAATGTTTATTGACACCAGGGAGTAGTAATACTACTCCCTGGTGTCAACCCAGACTTGGAAGTTCTACGCAATGTGATGCGTGATCTAGGTCTACGTAACACACAGCTCCATATTTGGCACTATCCCAAGGGTTGTCGCGGTTGGAAATGGGAAAGCCGGGAGCCACGCCAGCATTGTTTCACTTTCCACTAGGCCGTGTCGTCTACCTGGATACCACGGCACCCTGCAGGAACTCAATTCTGTGCACCACCTAGCGAATTCGACCCTGGTCATGGGTTTGATTGGACTTGAACGGATCTGCAGGACTGGAATTCGACCAAACCGTAACGAACATAACCTTTGGGCCAAACAGTACCGTACTGAAGGACAGCCAATCGCATGCGTGTTAGATATAATAGCCTATCTCAGGGGGTCGTAGCATCTGGGGAAGACATGCGGGCGACTGGAACATGAAACGATGTGGGTTTCGCTCCCCGGGCTGCCCGTTCTAGTCACCCTTGGGGCAGGGCCGGTTTATGCATGCTCACACATATTTACGCCCATCACGGGTCTGGCCCGAGTTTGTAGGTCACGTCAGGAGGTCAAGGCCACAATCGTGAGTTGCATAGACCACGGATCAGATCGGATCAGGTCACACTTTACTTCCGAATCCGGGGTCGAGACGAGGCGTACACTGTTTTGGGATGATCTCGCGTCAGCTGCGTAGCTGCTACAGCTCCCTACTCCCTAGGCCCTGACACATGGCCGGCCTACACTGTGGATACATTGCGGCGGCGTACCGTGCAGGGAGACGGCCCGGGTGACTGTGCCTCTACATTGTAATTCATGGCGGGTTGACCCGGCTGGGCTGCGGCACTGCCCGTTTTACAGTCGCCCTTGGCTTGGGGCAGGGCAGATTGACACATGCTCGCATATGGCATCGCTCGCCCTTGGGGTCAGCACCCAGCACGCAAAGTCCAGGAGTCGGAGTTGCATAGACCGTGGACCATGGATCAAAAATCTTTCCGTGAAACTCTGAGTTTCATATCAGACGATGAGTGTTTCAAGACCACGGATCGCTTACGTACTCCCTAATCCGAGCCTCTGAGGTCTAAACACACATGTTTCGGGTACAATGATCCCGTGTCGTCTCTCTCACCACGACTCTACATAGATCTACCAGCTGCTGTACTTGTACATGAAAGAAAAACAAAGGAGATGTGTACATTGTCGTGTTATCGTACGAAACGTGCGTACCCGTTTGGGCGGTATGCCCCAGTCGCCCTGATCGAACTGGCACATTCGAGTTCGAGTGGCGGGCGCCTTTGCAATAGGCCTTATGCACGTTGTACAGATGCACGAAATCCCGTAGAATCTTGTAGAATCCCGTAGACCCGGATGGGTGTAACTGTTGAATGTGCAGGACCCTATTGTATTTACTGCTATTTTCACTATAAAATGGGCCCTGAAGGCATTTCTTACGAAAACTTTTTCTGGCAGAGATCTAGCTAGTCGTTAGTTCAATCCCAAAGTGAAGAAAATGGAAAAACGATTGCTTGCCATGAATTATGAGGCTTATGGGGTATTCACACGACAGGCACTTGCACGTTTTACAGGAAGTGACATACGAGAAAAAAAGAAAAGTGACTGTGTGGATTCACACAGCTGCACTCGACGACAGGCACGTTTGCATTTTTGAATGCTTCACCGACCAGTAGCCATGGGTATTTCAAAATTTCAAAACACGCATACAATAATTCTCATGCTCTAAAGAGCCGCTTAAAAAATCAAGTCTTGTTTCGCGCTTTTTGGTGTAAATGTACTCGTGCACGCCACGATTATCGTGAAAGTGGGCCCCCAGCTCGCTTGCACTTTTCAGCCACTTTTCTCGTTCACAGGTAAAATACCATAGCAACTAACTTTCCGGTGCACGTGGATTTGCCTGTCGTGTGAATACCCCATAAATGGGTCAAACGCGTATGTATAGTACACAATGAACGGCCAACCGGGTACGGGTATGTACACACCTACGACCCTAGTAGAGTACTAGTACAGAACTTCGTACATCTGTACAACGTGCATAAATAAGGACTATTAATGTTCGTGGCTCGGTTTGCTACATCTCGATCTGGCTGTTCGAAAAAGTATACAAAAAGTCATGTACAAACAACAGTCATAACGATTTACTCACAAACATGATGTCGATAAGCAACACTGGGGAACTTCCGAAGTAGAAGTAACGTTAGTTGCAATGATTATGTACAGCTGTACTGGCTTCGAGGCCTCCTGGGCATGGGATCGACCTCTTGTGCCCTTCAATTCAGCTACATTTTTACTTTCAACTTTCAAGGTAACTGGTTGCATTTTCCGAGCCTGCATCGGCCGCGCCGCAAAAGTACTGATGTCTGGGATTTTTGAAACCAGTTGTCTCCATGGTAGTCTACAAATGAGGCGCCTGGCCGGATCAGCTGGGTCCCCGCTCGACGCTTGGTTCACGGTGCATGCGCAATGTATTTTTTTGGTTCGGCCCGCAGGAAGATACGCATACGCTGGCGGTACGCTCGTGGTCGATCGTTCGAGGTTTGCGTTTCACTTCGCACTGCTTGCAGTTGGCGCGAGGCTTTTCCCATCTGCTGACTGCAATGAACTTTGCTCCACGGTGTTCAGCGACGAAATTTACTCGCTCCTTTTTGTGCTCTCGTTCGTTGCTGGCTTGAGTGTGCGGTCAAGTAAGCTGTTGGAGCGCTGTTGCTGCTTTTGTGGATTTCGTTATTTCTTGCGACGGAAGAGCACAGCCACGGCCGACGGATCGTCTACCACGGACAGTGTCGGTAAGTTGTGTTCGTGTATGGAAGTTCGGTGTGTTTTGACCAGCTTTTGAACACCATGAGTTGGGTCATGGCAGTATCAATTTCCCTCACAGGTGTGGCCTGTATTTCGATGTCGCTTCATAAACCATGGGGTGGCTGCCTGTGCCTTTCCCGTCGATTGTGAATTACAAAACTTGGTTTTCGTATCTTCCCCACCCACCATCGCCACCCGAAAACCTGCCTCCGGAGCTCCGTCGAAAAGCTCTGTCAGCTGTGTGAATGGAGTTGTTTCGTTTTGCAACATTTCCCAAGATCAATGGATATCATTCTACTGACCACATGCACATGTTGTCTGGACATACACACAGGTTTGAAATTAACTGAAAAAAGACCCTCGAGGCCGAGGGCAGCCGAAGCTCACGAGCTGGTGCATGATCATGGCCTGTTTTGGTTCTTTCTTGTCATGTCCTCGATTATCCTGTCCTGAGCTCCTGAC